TTTGCAAACCAGGCTCTCCTCGCCAGCAGTCGGGGCAGCTTTGGGACGGGTCCCGCAGCTGCCCCGATGGGTACGGACGCGGATGGCGACGCTTTCGTGCCCTCCACGTTCAGCTCGCCTTTCTCCGCGGTCCCAGCCTCGGCTAGAGGGAGGCTGCAGACATACACTCAGGGAATCCTACCTGCCCCTTACTCCAGGCAAACCTCCCAGAACTACAGCCTGGAGGGCGGACAGATAGCCAACTCTGCGATAGAGCTGCAGAGATCAAGGTAACTGTGTGTGGTGTTTTTGGTGGGAACATGCAGTGCAGTACAGTGCGGATGGTGTAACCGGGGTTTTTAAAAAGGTTTATGCTCGTCTGCAGGATGTGCACAGTCAGGTCATTACACTGTACATTGATGTCATAGCAAGCAAGCAAAAACTCTGCCATAGCCCCCCCCCCCCCCCCAAAAAAAAAAAAAAAATGCATAGGGGCAGTCAGTCCTCCAGACAACTGTCAAGATTTTATTTGTTCATGCCATATATATATATATAATTTATTGCATTTTATTTTGTTATAGTTCACCACCAGTTTACAGTAGCAACCAGATTATTGTTTAATTTGTTATATTTTAGTAGATTAGCAGGTTACGTTGTGCATTATTTGGTAAAATAGTTATAAGGTGTGAAACATAGTGAACAACTTTTATCTTGAACTTCCTGTTGGTTATGTGTTAACACATGTACCAGGACCCTGAATGAATGAACTCCAGGAACAGTCTTCTGGCAGGTTTTTTCTTTTACAGTTTGAAAAGTCGCTTTTGGTTCTTAGCAACACAGTCTGCCTGGATGCAACAATGCACCTGCAGGAGGATAAAGTTCAGCTGTTTTTATATTTACTCCTTGCAGGTGGTTGTAGCCCTATGACTCACTGGTCTGCACAGGCAAGGATAGATAGATATAGTATGATCCCAGGTCCAACAGCTGTGGAGCTGCAACCTAGTTTCCATAGAGAGGGAAGTCAGCAGCACACCTCATCAGCTTCTTAATTTTGTTTTTTTACTTGCGCACACAAGCTCTGTCATATTTACTCAAATTATTTTTAGTGAATGTCATTCCAAAACCTGGCGCACACCTGCTGTCCCTCTCTCTGTAAACATCCTGTAACTCTACACCTCTGTTCAACTACATATAGAACAGGGACTTGCTGCTCAGTATGGGTTGGCTTTTTATTTTATTTTCTCTTTGCCCACTTTGTCTTCACATTTGGAGGCACAAGGAGAGTTTGGAGGGTCTCACCTCGCAGCAGGACAGCTGTCAGTGACAGTCTCATGGTCCTCTCACTGTCAGAACCTGCTGTCAAATCCTCTCTGATCTTTCAATTCAGAGCCCCTCTCTTACCCAAATCCTCTCCTCCCTCTGGTGCCTCTGCCAGGCTTCTCAGGAAGCTCTGCTTCATGGTGAAACACTCAATAGGCATTTAGTTCCCCTTCCTGACCTCATGGAAATTGCACTGCCAAACTAACAGCTTCTGAAAGTCTCAATCTGTACTTTTTGATAGAAAGAAGTGCAATAAAGAGGTTATATAACACCCAACCATTAATATTTTCTGAATGTGCTCTGTATTCCCCTAGAGAACATTTATAGTTTCCTGATGCTCAAAAAGTACAAACACCTCACAGTGAAGCACAATCCAATACACTGTTAACTACAGCCTCAAAAATAAAAGATACACAGGCTCAAGTTAAGATGAAAAAATTATTTCACCATAAAGTCCATTTAGTAGCTCTACTGGAGATTGTCAGTCTTGTCAAACAGGTGGTGTTTGCCCAGTTGTCATTGAATTGTGTTCGATTTTTGTTATTTTTGTTAAAATGAATTTTATTAAAAAGGTTCAGTGTGTAGGATTTAGTGGCATCTGAGGAGCCAACTGAACCTCTCGTCCTCCCCTTCCAAAGTGTGTAGGAGAAATTATGTTGGCTGCAGAAAATGTAAACAGCTCTCTCTAGAGTTTGTGTTTGCTTTGTCCGTTCTGTGCTACTGTAGAAACATGTCGGACTGCGTGGAAGAGGACCCGCTCCCCCCTGTAGATAAAAACAGCTCATTTTAAAGTAACATAAACACAACAATGTTCAATGTATTTTCAGGTGATTATACGCTAATGAAAACATACTGAATATTTTTGCCAGTAGATCCTCCTCAATTTTACACACTGGACCTTTTTAATATACACATTATCAAAAACAATTTCAAACGATGCCCCAACTGTGGTGGTAACAGAGCATTTAAATGTTTATTGTACAATACCATTCATTCTTGACCTTGAAAACCGCAGTTGACTGAACAGTCTCACCGGAAGGTCCATTATTAGCTTTAGCTTCAACTTTTGAACCAACATGGACGATGAGTCCTTAAAGGGCTCAGAAAAACTGAAAAAATGAAAATCTACAATTCCATGAGAACTGGAAAAACTCCATCCACTGAGGAAGATCATGTGATAAAACTGAAATCTCCAGAACAAATACTAAATGTACCTTATTTCAAGGTCAAGAGTTAACTTTTAGTCTTAAAGTGAAAATCGTTTGGTTCAAATTGGTATGCATGGTAGCAATGATAGTGTTGAGTTCCTCGCTTGTTGCATGTTATGCATGCGTTATAATATAATATACATTTAAATACTATAATAAATTGCTATAATAATTAATCTGGTTTTATACGTGTGTTTATACACTATACATTATATGTAAAACGAGCAGCCGTGCAACAAGTTTGCTTGTACAAACTGTCACAAATTGGTGAAATTATGATATAAATCATCAACTAAAACATTCTCTGCCAGCTTTTAGGATGTGTCAGTTTTTGCTACTTGGTGCTATGAACACATTTTGGTTGGTACCAAAACTAGCATTGAGGCTCAACACCCAACCCTAGCCACAGTGCTGCATGTCTGGCATCTAATTTCTGCACAGCCACTCTGTTGCTCAGTCTGTATATATACAGTAAGAGGTTGTTAAACCCTGACTGTACCCTGCTTTTGGAATGTGCTTGGAGGACAAAATGAATTCTGATGTGGAGAAGTAAGCAACCTGTTGATGGAGCGCGGCCATATTCTGCCGGTCGCGCAGACAGACGAGCTCTCTGCACAGTGCCTGGTTTGTTTTCCGAGGGCAGCTGGTGGAAACGTGTCCAGAGGTCCCTGGCTGGGAGAGGCAGGATGCCCAGGCTTTCTGAGAAGCAGCCTGGCTCTCCACTCTGTATTTTCTGTCCTCTACTTCCTCTCCCAGGGGCATCAGAGACACACACTCCCCTCAGACTATTGGCCTTCAGTCCTGCTCCCATTCAGGAAGTCGCAGAGCCTCTGATGTGCCGCCAAAATAGACTTTCTGAAGCCAAAGCTGCTTTAGACCATATCCTCATCAGAATCTAATGAACGTAAATGATGGATGCTTTTATATTCAGCTTTCCTTCCACTGCTTAGCCTTCGTACACCATGAATCAGCATGCTAAGAGCTGCACTTTAAATATAGCATACCTATTACCATCTGGCATTGTCTGCCTAAGGTGCAGAGCTATTTTCATTTTGTCTTTTTAAAGAGGCAGGTTAAGTCTTTTCATGTCCTTTTGTAGTTATGTTCCCACCACCATTAGGTAGTGCAGAGTCATGTACTTTACAGTATTTTAGCAAGATTTTTTTAGCATGAGGCAGCAGAGGCTGTGGCTGGAAAACAAGCAGCATAAGCCATTATAGTGCGATTGGGTCACATACTTCTGGTTATGAGGTTGATTGTTGTTCGCTGAGGTCATGGTTGGCATAATCACAGGATTATATAAGAATGCTTCATTTTCCTTCACAGAGTCTCTCAATGGCTGAGCTGTCAACAAACACTCAGGAAAGCCCTAAAGATTTGTCAAGTGCAGAACAGAGTAACAAGGGTCAGCATGTGTTTTACTTCATGCTCTTTTAAGTTGGACCCCAGAGGTGAATAAAAACACATTACGACTTGTTCTGTTTCTCACTCTGAACAGCGACACCACAACAATTTGATTTCCGTTTCTGATTCTTTAACTTCCTTTTTTTTTTTCCCCCATGTATTTTTCAAATCTGCTGATGCATCCCATTTGTACCCCCGGTGTGTTTGAGGATCAGAGAGGCTGAACTGCTCTGACTGGATTTTTTTTATCTGAATAATCACATTTCCGTTTGCCTGGGCTGTATTTGTCTGAAGAAGCCCAGAACATTACATTTATTTCCACTCAGCGCCCTCCGGAAAAATAGAAGACTATATCCTGTGGCAAGCTGCCAACAAGAGCATACGTGTGAAACTGTTTAATCTCCACATCTAAATAGTCCACTTGGGTTTTATAGCTTCATTGCATGGTACCGCTGGGCAGGATTATCAATAGCTTTTTGAAACATTTTCATTGCAAGAGGATGGTATTGTGTTTGCAGTAGTGCTACATGGGTTGCATTTATGAAACATGCTGCAACAAAATCAGTTCAGCAGGCAACAATAGCAGGAATTGTGTCAGAGATACTGAGGGATGCCTGTTGTTGCTCCTTTGCATCTGATTTATACTGAGTCTCCTTTGAAGCTTCTGAAGGGTCCTTGTTAATGTCAAACTGGGTAGAAATTGACTGTTCTAACCCTGGTTGTTAGAGTTGTGTTTGAGGTGAATGAGTGGCCTGGCCTTTGTTATTGTTTCCAGGGTCTGCACCGGCCTGGAAAACATATCTTGCATTAAAAACACGTCCCGCTGCTGCTGTTCAACTACAGCGCCTGGATCAAAGTCCTCATAGTTCATTTGTATCCTCATGGAATGGAAACATGCCCTTCGGCCAACTGGTGAATGCTTTTTGAAGAGCACTAACAATTCAGACAATTGAGATTTGGACGGAAAAAAATACAAAGTGTCACACAGAATGGAGACAGATGGCTACAGTGAGACGTTATTTTGGTTTTTGGCGCAGATTGTGGATATAGTGTAACACTCTTTGCAGATTTAAAGGACAAGTTTAGATTTGTCTTAATACAATGCTCTACTGCCTATATGTACGTTAAGAGAGATTGGCTTCTGTAATAATCTCTCCTGTCCATAATAAAGTGGTTGCATCTTCACTGTAAGTGATGTACAGAAAAATTTAACGTGAACTGCAGCGTCAAGTGATAATGCGACACCTTTTACATGAAATATTGTCATGTGATTTATGAAAATATTGATTTGTTCAGATTTAAGTTAAGCAGTCAGATATAAACTTGTGCAGTAATTTTTTTACGTTTTGTAATAAAGACTAAGATGAGGTGATTTTTCCTTTCTCTCATTAGCTAAAGACAGTGTTATGTTCCATGCCAACGTCCCATTTGACCTCTAAATCAAAATATAGAAGCATGACACCTTGGAAATGTTTTCTTATTACCTAACTTCCAGCAACAGCTTCATTCAACATAAAGTAATTCTAGGAATTAGGTGATGCACCATCAGAGAAAACAAGAAGCCTTGTCCTTAAGACTGCCTGTAGTCTCAGATCCTTATCCAGACAATCCATCTCTCAGGGTTGTCTCTGAAGAAGGATGATGTAAGACCACAAATCACATGATCTGACCTTCAGGCAAAGGTCACACCCCGCCATTGTGACCCTTTTGGCTCACACTAACATCAACAGTGTTGATATCAGCTGTTCTAATAATTTGGACTAAAAAAGTGCACTTTCATGCCCTTTATCTGATCTTAATGTTCTTCCCTCCACTTTATGGTTATTGGGGTCATAATATACAGTGCAGAAGATTGGCCAGTATAATGGCCCTAACTGGTTTCTTGTCTGCTTCAACAGTCTGGCTCCTCATGTAAACACTTATCTCACCCCATCTCCTCTGGTATACAGTGTTCACTCAGCTTGTGTTGGCTTAAACCCTGGGAGATCCTCAAGGACAGAGTCATTTTTTGTTAATCTGTCCTCATGCTCTGTCATTTATTAACTAGCCACTCTGCCTTACGCTCCACGGTCTCTCCCCTTTGCCGAAATGCTCCGCGAAGAAGGAGGTAGGTCAGTGCAAGTTTCATCAGCTCGTCGTAATGCTGCAGGGTCTGCAGTGTTCTGAATTGTGAAAAGAATTAGTCCAAGATGATACACAGTACAGTGGTATGAACAGTTATTTGTTCACACCAAAGTCATTTGCTCACACCCTTACTTGGCTTTGCCGAGTTGTAAGACTGCTGCAGATTTATTTAGTACTTGATGACAAATGGATCCTTTGGGAGACGTTTTGTCTTTTGACCACTAATGTGTTAATTTCCACTACTTTAAATGTGGCCACTTTGTAAGGCTGACTAATGAGTTGGATTATGTTGTTATTGTTGTGCTAAACATGCAATTACAACCTAATTTTGGAAAAGCTCAGGCATATTTAGCTATCACATGTGGGTTTGTTTCTTAAACTGGCAGCCGATCATATTAAAGTGGTCCAGCAGAATTAGCCTGTTGAGTCGTGCAACTAAAGTGAGAAATAAAGGCCATCTGTGACAAAATGTGTTACACAAAGTGCTTGCAGAGCCAGCTCGTTATCCTCTTAGCAGCTCTGATCCTGGAAAATTCTCTGATCTACGCAATCTACGACTGGGGAGCGATCATTGACCACACAGGTACACAGTGGTGTTGATGGATGGCCATAACTCGACCATCCGAGACTTGTTTTTGTAAATTAACCACAGAACATGTGATCATTTTACACTATTGTTTAACCTTTGTTCCAAGGACTTCTTTGACCAGTCACATACTTGGTTCCAGGGATGGGTGTCAAACCTTAATGCTTTGTCTGTACCGACTAAAATGTGTTTGTAGCATCAAGTATCGGAAGGTGTGAAGAATCAAAGGATGGCATTGAATGCATGGTCAAATTCTTAGGCTTGATTATTGTTTTTGATGAATTGAAACCTTTGCACAAACACTAATGCATTAATGCATAGTTTTATGTATTTTTCTAATTTTAAAAAAGTGGTTTCAGCATGTTTTTACTCCTCAAATTAAGGTATTGAACAAGGTATTGGTTTGATATCATGCTATACCCAGCCTTACTTATTACCAACCAATTGTTTATTATTGGGAAATGAATGTTAGATATCCTCTACGCTCTTTAGTTTCTATGTAGTTGTGTAAAAGTACATTGAGATGGTTAGAGGCTTTTTAACTAACTGACACATAACTTAGCCCTAATCAGGTCAATTGAGAGTATATGGTTGAAGTTCCATGTTCTGTTTGTGAATTTTATTCTAAAACCTAGGACTTCAGTTTGTGAGGAAAATTGATGGACTTTTGGTGCCATTTTAGGTATTGCTGTGGAATTGACTTTGACTTAGTGTTGTGCCTTTTAATCAAATTGCTTTGCAGAGCTGTGTGTCCATGTGTTTGGGTAAAGTAAAAAGAGATTATCGTTATAGAGAATTTGTTTTTCTAAAGGTTGCTTTGCAGAATGGACATTTGGTGCTGTGTTTGGTGTGATGCTGTTTCTTCAAATCCTCTAACTTCAAACTTCCCCTCTTCCCAGACGAAGACTCGTCTCTCAGCGCTCTTCGCTTGAAACGCTAGAGGACATTGAGGAGAATGCTCCTCTACGAAGGTAGTAAACTACACAGAAATACCATTTACATTGCTCGCTACTGTATTTGTGTGTCTCAGCTCAGTGTAATGTATTCCATTGACACAGTTTATCTGTTTGTAGAGGTACTGATGATTTGTATTTGTTTTTACATTTTAGATGCCGAACCCTATCGGGTTCACCCCGACCAAAGAGCTTCAAGAAGATCCACTTCATAAAGAACATGAGGCAACATGATATGCGCAATGGAAGGTATGAAGGCAAACAACGCCATGCCTTAGTCAATACAAGTCCTCATTGGATGATGGCAGGCTGCCCCAGTCAATGAACTGCAGTTTGGATGTTTCTCACATTACAAGCTACATTGTAGGCAAGCAGGCCTGGCCCATTCACTGCACGCCATTCTGACTTCTAAATGAAATGTAATCGATTGAGAATCCTGTCCATTTACATGGAGTATAATCTGATTTAACTTTTTTCTTTATTTGATCACTGTTAAAAAAAAGTTGGACTTGCACCATGAAATCACTCCGCTAAATCACATATTATTGTGTCACAGTTTACACAAGCATGTATTCAGCACACAAATCTCTAAATATAAAACCATTTTGGCACAGTGGTGTTAATGTTGATGTTTTACTGGGTCTGCAGAGTGTAACCAAAAGAAAGATGGCTGTTTAATCCAAGCCAGGAGAGGAAGTGTTACTGAGTAATACTGTTCTGGTGATTTTCATCATTATCAATGTCACATTTCTTGGATTTGAAATTTAATTCAGTTATCTTATTTTCAGGGTGTTTTGTGACACAGAGTCTAGTTCTAATGCTTTCTGAGAAAATACCTTTTACCTTTTTAAGATGTTTTTGTTAATCTTCAGTTTTATCGGTCAGCATCTGGCTGATGTGAAGAAGCAGACATTGTGTGTACGTTAAAATAATATCTCATTTAGACCATCAGGCAAACAAGTCTCACTTGTTAAATTAAGTCACCCGATAGGTAACGTTTCTTGTCCTCCTATCCAGACCCATGACTCGTGTTGATTATGTCCTGAAGTTGATTTTGGCCGAGTAGTAAGATTCATCATGTGTCTGCGAGCTACAGCTAGGTCGTTGTAGTGTGACAAAGTCAGAGCCATTCTGCTCTCTGTGCTGTTGACATCTGGTCACTGGGAAACTGATTGGATGCTGTATGCATGTTTACACAAGTACAAGGCAATTTAGGTTAAAAATAGCATATGATAACTTAAAATATTAATAAAATAACATCTAAGAAAAATGCATCATTGCTGCCCCCAAACCACTGACTACATGCTACATGTGCTAAAATACAAAACAACACACACTCATACTCAAGTTTCAGCTCATTCTTTTCATACTTATTTTTACTGCACACTCTCTCCAACTTTAACCTGTGGATCTTATCAGATAGATGTTGATTAGCTTGTTTATCATTTTGTTTTTATAGGATAGTCCTTATCAGTGGCAGAAGATCCTTCTATAGTGTATTTTCTGTCCTGCCCTATCGAGATTGTAGCCAAGCAGGGTATGTATCCTACAGCATGCCGAACCCCGTAACTTCCTCCAGCCTGTGCTCCCTTTTTCCCTTTGTTTTCTCATCCCTCTTTTTCTGTGGATGTGCTCTCCTTTGACTGGTGCATACATTGCTAAGGGTTGGTTTTGGTGGATGCATTTTTACCATTAAGGTTTAATGAATAAGTAAACAGTGGGCTGAAGTGGTATCTAGAATATATTGTAGCCCAGTGCTTGTTGCTTGTATTGCTTTTCCCATAATGGCTCCGGTGGCTTTTGGGCACTCATCCTTTTTGTTTAAGTCAACCCATTTTTGTCTATTGCAACTGTTGCTGGCTTTGCTGTTTAGCATTTATAAATTCACTTTTCCCAGAGTTCCTTCTCTTCTTAGAAACTTACTTTGATGTGTCGTCTTTGGTCTAATTATATAGACTTGAGTCTCTGTTGTGTGCACTGCACACAGTGATGACAGTTTGTTATTAACCATTTTTTTGTTTATTCTTTGCCTCAGTGTAGAGTTAACATTTCTTAGTGCTTAAACAGAAAATACGTCTGGCTTATCTGTAGACAACGCTTGTTTCCTTTTTTTTTTTTTTTAAGCAACCAAAGGGTCCATGTAACGGGAACCCACCTGGCTTGCATAGGGATAGCTCTGGTGTGACCTTGGTAGTGGCGCCCACCAGTCACATGAAACGGTGTGTTTTGGAGGAAGTGAAAGAGAAAGGGAAAAGATAAACATCAGAGAATACAATGCGCAGAAAGGAAAGCTTCACATCGGGGCTTAGTGAAGAACATAAAAGGCCCAATCTGTTAGTGGAATTTCCTAAGCCAGCCAATCAGTGCAAGGTCAAGGGTTAATAAACCCCCAGGGCTATCCAATATGCACATCTGACTGCTCATTGCTGCTAATTGACAGTTTACAGTTTGACTTTGGCTGGCCCAGTCAAGTATTGTAACTGCAAAACAACATTTTATTAAACGGTTGGGCAGAAAACTGCTGATTGCATGTATTTTTCCTCTTTTTTTCCCTCTTCTGTCTCTCTGTCCTTATGCTTACTATAAATATTGCCCCATGAACAAAAATGATCAAATTTGGCTCAGCAGCCAGGTACGGGGAGGTAATATGGGGACAAGTAACAAACAGTAAATAGTTAAATTTAAATGAATGGTTTGCCACTTATTCGCTTTAATGCCAAGAGTTAGATGAAAAGATTGAGATTGAGATACCATTCTTGTATCTGTTTAAATATGAAACCACAACCAAAAGCTTGGAGACTTAGCATAGTGTAAAGACTGGAAGCAGGGGAAAATGACAGGCCTGGCCTTGTCCAAAGGTAAAAAAAAAACAGCACCTCTAAAGCACAAAGTAAAAAAACAATGACTTTTTGTTTAGGAGGTGACCTATGTAATTTATTACTTCTTGGAGTGATGCAGCGACTGCTCTCATGGTGCCTAAAGGAAGTTACGGCTCCCAGCTAATAAAAATAGTCCCGCACATAACCCCTGTTTTTACACTTATAAAAAAAGACATATAATGTGTAAATTAGGGAGCTTTAGGTGCTGGTAGGTGGAGTTTTTTAACCTTAGTTTGGAGAGAGCCAGGTTAGCTGTCCCCTGCTGCTACAAGTCTTAATGCTAAGCTAATTTAGCAGACTGCTGGCTCCAGCTTCCTATTTAGTGTGCTGTCATGAGAGTGGTCTTAATCTTCTCATCTAACTTTCGGCGAGAAAGCGAATAGCCATGTTTTCCAAAATGACGAACTATTTGCTTTTAAGAGAAACAGAGCATTAAACTATGCAGACTCAAAGACTGTTTAATTGGACATCTGTTTATGGGGCGTCACTGTCTCGTGACAGCTAGATGGTCGATTTCAAACCCCGCTAGAGTTGACTGTGGCTCTTGTGTGTGGAATTGCATGTTCTGCCTGTGTTGGCATGGGTTTACTCAGTCTCTCTGACCCTAAAAGACATGCATGTTAGGTAATGCTCCTGGCATTGCAGTGTAGTTGATGTTGGCTTCCAGGGTAAAAACTTAGATGGGTCAAATGCAGAGGGCAGATTTCCTCACAGCGATTAAGAAGTATAATAATAATAAGTATAAATTAGTGATGCTCGTAAGTTTATTGTAATGGGTGAGGCTTGGGCAAGAGAATATTATTATAAGCCAGTCAACCCAGCCCTAAACTGTTTATGTGAGCTGTAAAATATTCGGTAGTAAAGTAGCCAACAGTGGTGAAGATTCTTTTAGTTAATATTTATTCTTTATTCTGATTCTAGATTTAGAAACATTTGGCAAGGCATGACGAGCACTTTGCACAGATTGTAACACTACTAACTTACAGATGTTTGAAGCCAGTGATTCCTACCCATGCATGTTACTGCAGCAGTGTCAGCTTTTCTCATGATTTCCTTTCATTGCTCCCTATTCTCAGCAGTCAACAACTTATTTTCTGGATCGCTTCATAGAAAAGCTCTCTCCCTAGAAAGCTTTCCGTCTCCTATGTTTCCCCCTTTTTATTTAATCTCCACTGTTCTGTAAGACGTCTGCTGCCTGGGGATCTCTATGTCTATGATGCATCTGTCAACATTGTGTCCTGACGTGCATGTCTGCCAGATAACACTGTTTTCATTATAACAGATTGGCCCTACATGTCATCAAAACACTGGGAGAGTCATGTGAGGGTCCACTGTGTAATTCCTTCCATTTATCTGGTCACCACTTTAAACAGAAAGCAAGACAGAGACAGGAAAGATAAGGGAGGAGGAGAAAAACAAGACAGTGTTACGATTTAATGTCTGCTGTTATTCTGAAATTTCCCTACAATGTTAATATTGAGCTAAATAGAAAAGATAGAATATGAAAGGCAGTTCTGCCTTTGTTTTCAGTACTTTTATTTTCCAGTGAACTTTTAATAAAATTTAAATTTAAACTTAAATTGCTGGAAAGAATTAGAATTTTCAGCATGCCATTACCTCTTTGATATCAGTTATTCAGTATGGCAGCGTGTGAAAGTGGACTGCAGGCATGTAATCTTCTTTGTCAGTGCACACGCCCATTAGCCTCGAGTGGCAGTGACCTAAAATCATCAAATTAAGTTAAATCATAGCGGTAACCAATGTTTACTTTAATTGGTATATTTTACTATTTAGTTCGCTGGTGGGATTTTATCCTCCTATCCAAACATTGAAAAGCCAATTAAATATGACTTAATGGGCACACACGGTTTTTAATTTGCGATCGCCCTAGTCTACTGGAAGTTCTGAGCAGCAGACATTAAATACCGAAATATCTGGCCAATACAAAATGTGTTCAATCGAGAGCTCTCTGTTTGCTCCACTGACACACTTTAGTCCCCAGCCGTCTGTTTTCTACTTCAGCATTTGACCTCCTGCAAATCTCCCACAGCAGTAAGGCATTTCAGGCATTGGTGAAGCAGCAGCTGAGACTGGCCTGCTAGAACAAAACTGTACTCTCCTCCATTGTTCCTCTCAAGGGTGCTCTTTATTTTCTGATTGCCCAGAGATGCACCCAAAGACACAGGCAATTACAGAGACATGGCCAACTGGTGAATACAGATCAATACAGGGCCTATCTCTGCGGTAGAGATGAGAGAGGTGAGCTAGAACAGGCCTCAGCAAGAAGGATAAAGAAAGGGATGGGAGTTAAAGGAAGCTGTAGGATTGTTTGTACGGTGAAAGCTCTAAAGGTCTTGTGCTCATTAGGGATGTAAAGCCGGAAGGAGGGCGTCAGCGGCACCCGTCAGGAGGCGTCAGTGCCAAGGAGATGGTGATTGGGCTGGAAGGAGTGGAGCTGGGAGCTGATGGAAAGGTGAGAAGTGAGCTGAGGTGTGAGGAGAGGCAATATAATGAATATATGACAGTATACTTAATGTGACTACTCAAATCATCAGTTCACACAAAATAAAACATAAAAAGTATTGGAATGTATTATTTTCTAGTCTGTCTTTTCTGGGTAAAATAAGATTGCGAGATTGCATAAGTAGTACTATGCATACGTGAGTCCTTACTCATATTCAGTGTTGAGGATGCTCTTTAAATGAAATTACATTACAATGATTTAATTCAAAGCAACTTAAATTAAATGCATTTAACCATGTAGATACAACCCAAAAATTAACAAAGGTACCAATTACTCTACTCTCTGGAAATAGGATAACAAAACATAATCATTTGTATTAATAAGGAGCTCTCTGCATTTTAGTTGCTTAATGGAAAAAATATAGATTTTTATTGACACAAGGAAAAATGGCCATGGTAAAGTTTTTGAACACCAATACTAATTTAAAAAAATACTTTCCTCGTAGACTAGCTTAAAGGAATACTATACATTTTATAATAATTTTATTTGACAAACTAGTTACATTGTTCCTTTTTCTTAGTAACTTACCCCTGTATCTTTTGTGTTAGTGCTAGTATCTAGCTAGCTACATCCCAAACACGCCCCTTCCCCTAAAATAATGCAAAATAATGCTGAAAACAATTTTTCCATTGTATCCTCTCATTCATGAGTGTGATAAATGCATGTGCACAAAGACATTTACATAGTCACATCTCACCAATGTCTGAATTTCAAAGGAAAATTTGCTAGCTCACAAGCTTGTTAGTTGCTAACTACTGCAGAACCGAAAGTGCCTACGCTAGCTAGTTAGCCAAATGATTTGCCCTGTCTTTGTATTGGGGTTCGGCTAAATGAAGAAATTAAACTTATCTGTTTCTGTGTCGTGTTCAACAAGGTAGTTCCACCAAAACAACAGCTACTGCCATCTTTTAACCACTTTTAGCCATTTTCCAAGCAACATTTTGACAAATTTGGCAAATCCCAGCTGTAATTAATCACATTATTAATAACTGCATTCCATTTAGGCAAGCCAGGTCCTGTTGTTGTGCATGCTGGCTCATTGGTATGATATACTGGAACACTTAATGAAACCTAGCCATCGTTAATGTTAGTGGTGCCACCTCTGTGCTTTGACTTAGATCTATTAAACAGATGTAATATAAGAGCAAACATTTGTAGGGGTTTGTGAAACAGGCTTTATAACCAACACTTGTTTCTGCAGACTGTGTCCTACACCCAGTTCCTGTATCCCACTAATGTGCTGGGTGGTCGAAGAAACACCATCGACTCCACCTCGTCCTTCTCTCAGTCCCGTAACGCCAGCCATAGAAGCCTCAGTTTGGGCCGAGCCAACAGCAACCAGAGCAGCTTAGACACAGGTGAGTCTGCTGCCAGCAAGAAATGTATTAATTATGAATGCTGTAGATTCCTCGTCCTCAGTTGTTGTTGTTTTTTTTCCCCCAGTACATTTTTTATTACAAAAGATGTAGAGCAAATGTTTGTCTGGCTCAACCTCTGTTGTTGTCGTGCTTGTGTCAGGGAATGACTTGGGGGACTTTCGCGAATACGACCCCAATCTGCTGGATGACCCGCAGTGGCCTTGTGGAAAACACAAGAGAGTCCTCATCTTCCCCTCCTACATGGTGAGAAAATACTCTAGATGCGTCTAACACATCACCTCCACCACCAACAATAACAACAGCAACCACAGCCTCATCCTCTTGAAAGCAGAATGGAAAGGTTGTTATCATTCAGGACATGATTCGCTGAAGCAGATCCACCTCTGTTATGACATATTTGTTTTAATGTCCTTCGGTATCTCACTGTTACTGCTTTATCTCAATGCTTATTTTTGTCATTATGGACCTTTTGTGCTCCGTTTTCCCACCGCAACCTGGAACAATAACAAACCAGAAAGATTTGTCTGCCTCGACAGTTTATTCCTACAAAAGATCCTCCTGAATTTGTATCTGTTGTTTTTGAAAATGATCCAGGAGGATGTTTCAGACAGTTTTAATCAGCAAGGTCACTCTCTCCCACCTTCTGGGACTTGAATGAATACACATACTTTATCCCAGTGTAGTGGGCCGGAGCTATTAAACAGCCACTTCTCCAGAGCAACAGTTGGTGTTTGTGTCTCAGCACTAGCACTTTTCCGGAAAAGAGCGGATGTTTTATCGTGGTTGGAAAAGGGAAAACAAACCTGACCAGACTCCCACCTCATTCTTTCCTGGGCTCTGTTTTTGTTACGGAGACTGGCAGAATATACAGCAATGACTGACATAGTTGAAATATTCAGTCAAGGCCAGGCTATGTGTTTTTTTTTGTCTTCCTCAAATTACAAAACCCAGCGTCTAACAACAATAGCTATTGTGTTTACTACAGGAATGGAACCAGTAAATTCTCAGCATTTCACTGGTTCTCTCTAACTGAACTTTCAAGTTCAAGCTGGGGATACTATTGGCTTTGTTATACTGTGCATGCAATTGAGGAACATTGTATGAGCTAGAATACGAATATAAAGCAAGGAAAACCCCACTATAGAAATTTTAAATGTAGTTTTAAAAAAAAAGCGTGTTTAGTTATTTTCATTTCTCAGGGATACGACCATCAATATTTACTCATTCTCCTTCATGGTTCTTGATCAGTAGCATGGTGTTCAGGGTGGATGCCATTATTCACACGCCGTGCATGGCCTGCAATACTATACGTGCATATTGAGAGTCATTCTTTATTTAGCACCATTGCATAGTGTCTTTGGTCTTCTTTTTTGTACATTTGGCATAATTTGTTTCAGCTAGAAAGACATTGTATTCACCGTAGTAGAGCAGCAATTAATGATTTTGATTAATCTGCAGGTTATTTTCTCGAGTAATTGTTTTTTCTATGAAATGTAAAGAAAAATAGTGAAAATGCCAGTTAGAACTTTCTATAGCCCAAGGTGACGTCTTCTTCGACCTCTGAACAACAGTCCAAAACCCAAAGATATTTTCTTTACTTCAAGCAGCAAATGGTGTTCGGCACCTTTGCTTAAAATAATGACTGAAATGATAAATCGAGTTGCCAATTAACTTTATTTTAATTGACTAATTGTTAGAGCTGTAGACCAAAGTCATTGCTCAGATCTGAACACGGCAACAATGCTACAGTGAAGTCCGACTGGGAAAGAAACGGACAGACACTCATATAATGGGTAAACAATTCAACACTTAGTTAGTAAGTATTATTTTTGGTGTTAAAAATGCTGGAAAATGGATGTGTAATATGTGTGTTTTGATATGCCACTCTGTGTGTGAAAGGTGCGAGAGAGAAAACAGATAAAGCAGGATAAAAGGAGCAGGATGATAAAATAAATACAACAAGCCAAATAAAGTGGTTCAGATAATGTGGCTAAAGTGTTGGAGGTCAAACTGAAAGTGAGTGCAGCCAAAATGTTGGTAATAATCCAGCATGCACAGCAAGTATGGTAGAGTTGAACCAAGAAGTTGGTCTGTAAACTGTCGTGGGTGTTCACAAAGGTCAGTCTGAAATCCATGTTTGATTGTCTGAATGTTATTTCTGGCCCAGTCTGACTTCTTTTCTTAGCAATGTTGCCATATTCTTAGATCTTAGGAATTATCTTGGTGATTATTATTGTTACTCAGAGGAATGATGGCCAAATATACAAAAAGAAGATGCATGTTGTGATAAATCAGGAATTTCTTGCAGTAAAATTCCTTTTGCCCAACATGTTTAAGTTGGGCAAAGTTAGGTTTTAAATTCAACGGAGTGCTAGAAATGAGAGATGAACTTTGTTCTTCAGGGATCTTGTTCCAAGCCTAAACTTTCATCCACTCATTATAGTCTCTTAACGTGATTTACTTTCCTGATACTCAAAGCATGTTAGAACAAGCAAGTTTATTAGAGGCCTGACGAAAAGCATGTTAGTCTCTTTCTTATCATCAACATATCCTATGAAAAGACCTTCTCTCCTCTCTCAGACCATATCTCTTCAACATCCTTTAACGTTAGCGAATGTTACTCAAATAGGAGTAAATAATGAATTTGTTGGGGACAGTTTTCAGCACGGGGGTGATGCACATTTGGTGTTTAAAGGTTTTACAGCAGCACGCGTTCATTGTAATGAAGGAACATGTGTGGCTCACTTTTTAGTAGTGTTTGGACAACAGGAGCTCTATGACAGAGAGGAATAAGCTATATCAGACTTTAGATACACACAGTAGGATCAGTCCATTGTTGTTTCTGGTCTTTTCACGGGACTTGTTGACAATAAGAAAAATATAGACTATCACCACGGGTAACACCAGCTCTCTGCAAAGCCTCATTATGAGACAGTGGAATCCAACACTAGTGTGTGAGGATCCAGTCACCTCTCTCAGTGCTGAAAGTGTGGTCATTCTGACACCACCTCTGGTTTTTCTTTCCAGACTACGGTCATTGAATACGTCAAACCCTCTGACCTCAAGAAGGACATGAACGAAACCTTCAAGGAGAAATTCCCCCACATAAGGCTCACACTCAGCAAGATTAGGAGGTAAAAAGAGACGAGAGGATTTAACTTTACCGTCAATTGTTTTATTTCTTCAACATCAACTTTCTCATTATTTCCCCATTTCTCCCTCGTTCATCCTCATTCTCTGCTTTTTCACCTCCCTACAGCTTGAAAAGGGAGATAAGAAAGTTGGCCCAGGATGAATGTGCTTATGAGGAACCGACCGTTGCAATGGCTTTTGTCTACTTTGAAAAACTTGTTCTTCAAGGCAAACTAAACAAGCAGAATCGTAAACTCTGCGCTGGAGCCTGTGTACTTCTGGCGGCCAAGATCGGGGGTGATCTCAAGAAACACGAGGTCAAGCTACTGATCGACGTAAGTTTCCTCACTCGCACCTCCGAAAGTCACAACTTGGTAATCATGCTAACTTGCGACCACACCCAACATCACTGCTAGGTGTGGCCAGAAATGTGCTGTGCTGCACCTGTGTCCACACCCAGAGGTGATGTGACAGTCTGCAGCAAGACTGCAGCAAGGTGAGAAAAAAAAAACTGATTCAAAAAAATGATGCAACTGATGTTCTATGTCCTATTTTTAAGTTAAAAATAAAACGCAGGGTCCTAAAATTCCCATAATGCAGCTCAATAGTGTAGGTCCTTACACCCTCCCTGCCAAGAAAATGCCTTTATCATCATCATAAAGGGTTATTTTGACTTTTGAAAGCCCCTTCCAGAGCCAGGGAAGAGTAGTACTAAATCAGTGGAGTGCCCCTTTTTTTTTTTTTTAATGAAAGCTTTTAGAGCGGCAAATTTACTTACTGCTACATGTCCGCAGAACTGGCAATAAGAAAACATTTAGTTTTCTCTTAGTGAAATCATAAAATTTCTCTGCTACCATTTAGTGGTTGGCTTGCAGAGTATAGTGATTGCATCAACAGTAGGTTTGTCAACCATCCAAAACAGGCATCTCCTCTTGTCCAAATCTCCTGTGAGGCAGAGCTCGGCCCTCATGAAATGCTGCTTAAAAATAGCGTTAAAAAATGTGCATGTATCTTTGGCTTACTCTTTACTCTCTTTTTTTTTTTTTTTCTTTTTTTTCCTGGCAGAAACTGGAGGAGAGGTTCAGAGTGAACCGCAGAGAGCTGATAGCCTTTGAGTTTCCCGTCCTGGTGGCGTTAGAGTTCAACCTGCACCTGCCAGAACACGAGATCATGCCCCACTACAGACGCCTGCTGCAGACTTCCTAGCATTAGCGACCCATCAGGGGGATGACCACCAGGTTCTCCTCCTGATCCTCTGCTACCCGCGGTATCCATCCTCCCACCTCTCTCCTCGTCCCAGACCGACCGCTCTAAGGTACCGCTGGCTGTTGCTCAGCTGCAGTCACTCATCACTACCAACAAACCCGCTCATTCCTCTCTCTGAGACCTGAAAGCAGCCAAAGGGACGACACATTTCCAAAACCTTTCTCCGTTTGTTTGACTTCTTCGTTCATCATCACTACAACAGTCTCCTGAAAGAAAAGGGTTAAACTGTCTGCAAACAGAACAAAGTTGTTTTTCTAGTTTGCATGTTTTCACACGTCTTCATCTTCACTTTGTACATTTTAGACCTCTCTTGTTGATTAAGAGAACTTGAATCGGATGGTGAACTTTTTTTTTCTCTCAGTTCAAGCAACCAATGATTGTAAACAGTTTTTTTTATCATCTCTTTTCATTAATCTCCTTCTTGTAAACTTTGGTATGATTGGTTGCCTCCTGACCTGCATCAAAATTTAAACAAAAGCCTTTTTAAGTGGCTGGTTTTGGCTGGACTTGTATTCCTCAGAGTGACTCATCTTTTTCGCAAGTCATCGTCTTAAAAGTGCACTTTCTGAATATTGCGAGACGTGGGGGGAAGGGGGCTTTTTTTCAGACTTTTAATGAGCTTGGGAACTAACCCTGAAAAATAAGCTGTGTTCATAAGCACCACACACACAAGTCATTTGAATGGACCTTTTTGAATTGTTTTTCTCTCTCTTATGGTTTATTCACAATTTTCTAGCAACAACTATCTGCATGAATAGTATTGATTATTTGTACACAGGTACTTGCAGACAAGATGTGACTTCCAATTTTCACTGAAGTATTCCATTCATTTTCTACCAGTCAAATGCTTGCTATTTACCTATGGAGACCAGACCCACTTTTATCAGTGTCGAATTTCCTGTGCTCTATGTTAGAGTGTATTGCTAGCACGTTTACGGTGCTATAATGGGGGTCAGGAAGGTAGTTTTGAAGTTCATGAGTGCAAAAATGCCATTAAGCAGTGATCAGGGTAAGCAGCAGGGTTGCTCTAGTGTTAAGAGGAAAAAATGTCATGTCACCTGTTGGGTGTGGGCTAAGACCCTGCTGAAGTGTTCTTGAGCAAGAGTCCATACAGGCTTGAGGCACACTTCTCTTTAGCTGACCTGACCTCTGACCTCTCTAAGAAACCTAAACAAGATCTGAACGGAGATGAACATTTGCATATAACTTGAATCAGCAATTGTTGATTTAAAAAGTGTTATTCCATTAATTTGGCATGTATCTATACTTGATTTTCAAACAGTGCCGCCGAGTATTGCGAGGCCACCAAATCAGGAACGTACAGCGTGGCCTGCTTGAAAAAAAAAATGTATAAAAAAAAGGTATTTCATGCTGCTCCAAGTATTGCTGGTATTTGAGTTGAAATGATCACAACCAAATTATAATGTGAAAAGCATGGATTATGCTGATTTTTAAGGTGGAAAAAAAATACTGAGCTTATTTCTGTTTGCAAGCCCAAAGATTTTGCGATAAGATGCACACTAAATACTCTGTGAGGAAAGACTCATGGGCAACACTTGTTACCTGCGTATGTTTGTAAATAAACTGCTTTGCTTGTTCAATCAAAACAAGACTCGGACATGTTTTTTTTGCTTCACCTCAACCTAGCATGTAATGAAAATGTTCTGCTCAAGTTAAAACATTCTGAACTTGTGCTGACAAGTTTTTGCGTCAGTTCATGCCACCCCAGGCTAATTCCTTTGACTTTGCAGCCTCTAAAATTTACCTCGCGTTCGGTCTCAACACACAAATTTACATCGCGTTTGGTCTCAACACACAGTTGAACCAGGTTGAAAAGCGGTCCTGCTGCCCTCTCTGGTGGAAAGTTTCAAACCTGTTTCACATCTGAACTGGTTAAAGGTGCAATAAAGCTATTTTTTAATTTATTTTTAAAATAAAGTTTTGGCATAACTGAGAGTTATTTGCAAACATGTCACTCTTTAAACACATCACTGATGCTTACTGACAGTAAATAAGTAACTTTGGATATGTATCTCCTCAGACGAGCCTGGTTCTGGTCAGACTAGTTTTCAAGCTTACTGTAGCTTCACTTCAGGTTGAACCAGTGTTACAATTAATCTGCCAGACTGGAACAATGTTCTCTCTAAAGTCCCTCCCTAAAGGTTTCTCCAACTGCTGCGCTGCAGACGGGTCAGTTTATGGTACATGTCAAAGTCATCTCACAAACATTTTATCTTTTTATCACATTTTGACATGGGCTGCACTGCATACTTTGGCCCATGGCTGTAGCCCTGTAGGTAGCATTTTCTTAAAATGTCACTTTAGATCTGTTTATAAAAACACAAAATGGGTAGACAGCTATTTTACAGTATTTTCACCATAAAGTTACTTGTGAAAAAACAAGTAACAAAATCTAACTGTATGTACTTATCTGTAATTATTTTATTGCTGTAACATAAATTACTTGTCTGGCCTCGTATTTGATACTTCAAAGTTGTGTAATGCACATTCATTTCCAGCACTTAACGATACAAAGGAAATTACTCACATGGAACTTGTACTTGTGTGAAAGTCTGAGCTCCCTGCTGGTCTACAACATGCTGCCAAAAGTTCTCTATCCTTTGTTATTGGCAGTGGTTTTGTTCATTTTTGTTTCATCACTTCATTCTGCCTATTATACGTTTAATATGCACTGCTCCACGGCCAAAAACAATCTCAATTTTGCCCTTACAATTCTGTTTTCTTTGTCACCAAAGCAGTACTTAAACTGACCGACTGCTTTCCTGAGCCAACACCCCTCTGTCTTGTAAATGCATAACTTGGATTATCAAACTGTCTGGTAATCTCAGTACAATAAATAGGCGCGACTCCAGAAACCTCGACTGGGAATGGATGGCACCTGTGGCTCTGATGCAATCTGAGAGGTCAGTTTCTCATCGAGTGGGAACTCTCCCGCTTGACACACATCCAATGTAAACAAGGCCTGCAGTCACGCCAGTCTCATGCTGCCATCAAAACAAACAGGCCAGGACCAAGCGTGGACACATGGCATACGTGGCTTAGTCCCCTCCATTGACAGCCTAATTCCCCCCTCGCTGCCTCATAAAGGGGTCTATTGACAGCCCTTCCTGAGCCCTGCTCACACATAAGTGACCCTCATTGTGAAAATATGTGTACCATCGTTTGGGGCAAGCTGCGCTCTATTGCCCTTCCCTTTAAAATAACATTTGGCTGAAACAGCATTTTGCCCCTTTCCTGTCATGATACTGTGACTCAGGGCTTTTCCACCATTTACTGTAGTTTGTAAACAAGGAAGTAGGGTACACTAAGGATTGTGACATTATAACTGTGAGAACATGTTTGATGTACTCTTGGATTCTATTCTGCAGTATCCCAAGTGTGACCGTACTTGCTAAATCTTTGTCACGTATAAAGTGCAGGCATGTTTCTAATGTAACTATCGGTTAAAATCCACAAACTTCTTTCTTCACTAACTGCAATGTTGTGTTTAAACACTGGTCCACGGTCACGAGGGGAAAGCACTGCAGGTGGACCTGAAAATCTGATCCTCTCTTCATGTTTGACAAGGCTACCTAATCCCTTTTGTTCCACCCCAAGAGTCTATTTCAGAGACAGCTGAACCTGCTGTAACTGAAAACCGGTGACGCAAAGTAGGACATTAAACGCTTCTTACACTTACTTATTGATGGATCTTTTAAAAAACATGCAGATCAACTTTTAAGTAGGTGTGACGGAGGCCCCAATGTGAGTTTAAGGACAACTGTGGGAGGAAACACAGGGGAGGGCTATTGGACATAGATAGCACTTGTTTTGGACAGAATACACTTTATATGGTTTAACAAATTAGTTTCAGAAGCAGATGTGGTAATGTACCAGTGTGCATAGTTGTTTCTTGCACTCATAATAATGTAATAATCATATTTAAAGACTGCTCTCTGACTAGTTTGGGTTAAGGATTGTTAACTAGCTACTAGTGTAATTTTCTTTTTACTGTCCAAACATCAGGGGAAATTTTAATTAATCAAGCAGCATCTCCTGAAATTGGAGGAAAAACATTGTCACTTTGTGGTTCCTGTACCTATATTAAACATTTTGTTCTAGTGGAATTACACTTGGATAACTACTCTAGCTATACAAGACTATTTTTATCCCACACAACCATTAAATTCAACTTGATTGTTGTAATTAGAGTTCCCTGAGCTGTATTAGTTAACAGATTACTGACAGATTATTTTCTAGATTAGTCCTGTTATCTAAGAAAAAAGAAAAAAAAAATGATTCCAGGGATTGATAATCCAGGGCTGCCGTCATTCAGGCAACAGACATTCAGTGGGCGGGAGATTCAGCACATCACAACAAATTATGAAATGAGGAGTTCTTTCATAATAAAACATCCTGTGTGACTGTGTATGCAGGAGAATATTATAAACTATAGTATTGTATACTATAGTATTGTGTAACTGCTGGTCACAATATCACATTTCCTTCTCTCTTGTCTTTCAGTTTTGATATTTATGTCTTTAGTTTAATTTCTTGACCATGATTTGCAACTTTCACTTTGGTTTGACTTTCTAAAATATTTAAGGAATCTCTGCCAGGCAAAATTTGTCCATCTAATATTTAAGATAGCATATAAAGGCATTACAATCTTCACAGTACTCATATAGGCAAAGCTATTCATTTTCAGCTATAAATGGTTTATAGCCAAAAACATGGGGTTAATTTTACTCGGTTACATTTGTCAACAAGCTATTTAGTTTCTTTGTCTTCTTTCTTTTTTTTGTTCCTAAAATGTTATTCATACCTTCTGGAACTACAACACCGTTGCTGAGCAGTATATGTGCATCTGTGTCATAATGAAGGATGGGGACAGGTCAGAGTCTAGTGTGAGGCGAGCCTTGCACATCTTACATAATAGTACTCTCCCAACCTGGATATTCTCCCCCTGCAGACAGCACAGCAGACCTGCAGAGGAAATTAATATTTTAATCTCTCAGCCAGATTCAAAGAACAGTCCCCGCTCTCACAGGGAAGCGGATAAATAAGTCATGAGCTGGAGGTTTGTGTGACAACAGAGCTGAACAGACAGACACAACAATACACAACGGGAGGAAGCACGCAGCTCAGGGGTTTGGCAGCAACTTTCGAATGGGATGTGAGTGACTGATGGCCTGTAAAGTTTTGATATAAATATCCAAAAGCTGCATATTTACACGCTTAACAACCAGCTCCATGCAGATGCTTTAGTTAATATGCTCTGTGAACTACTTGCACACTGCAGAGATTTAGATCACTGACAGTGTAAAAGCATGGCAACACTGCTTCCCTTCAAGACATAAAAATTAGGTCACTCCCACAACATTACTGAGAGCATGATGCAGACAGAGCTTTATGAATGGATTCAGGCGCCACACTGTGGTCAGTCTAAACAATCTCAGCTGTGAGTGGTTTCTGCTACAGAAGCATCCGCTGCTGTTTGTATTAACCTCAGAAGAATAAAACTATTGTTTTTGTTTCACAAAGACTCCTTCCAGCTGGAGACTTTATAGTAGCTTCTAACAGGGGCCATATTACATCACATTAAATCAAATTTGCATCAGCAAAAACAACAGAACAGGCCGAACTGCATACTTTTATGATAACTATTTAATGTGTTAAAATACATAAAATGTTTGGTTCAGTCTCTTTTACCGAGATCATATTCTTCAGTGTCAGAGATGATTTGTCAATGTCAATGCACAGCACTGTTAACAAGCACAATTCTTTGTTATTCCAACTTTTTCAGTTGGTTGCTCACAAACATTTCCCCGGTTTTCAACTTTTTATCGACACAATTCATTTTTACATTAAAAAAAACATCACTGCAATGTGGAAAAAATTAACTTGAAAATCAAAAACAATGGTACTGTTCCTTAAAAAAAAAAACCCCAAAAAACCCTTTACCTTGGGTAAAATGTTAACATCCTCTTCCAGTGATGTCACCATCAATTTGGGACAACCATATCCAGATTAAACTAGTGGGAGCGCACCACCTTGAGTCTCGACTAGTTCTGACCTCAGACATGTTGAAGAGCAGGCGATGCAAGTGCGTATTCACTTGCATCGCCTGGACTGTATTGTCCTGGGATATACAGTTTAATTTGCTACAGAAAAAGTTGTTGTTTATCTTTTAAAACAAAGTGATTCCTTTGGACGAATTAGAAGGGTTTTATAAGACAGCAATAAATGGTAAGAAAGTGTTAATAGTTAAAAAAAAAAAAATAACTTAAATGTGTAGGAATGAAAAACTCTTACCATTCTCTAATCATTCAACAGTATTCAGTATCAACATACTCTAGATGACTAAAGAATCAATCTAAATTAGTCTTGTGTACGCTATTTACAGTCAAATAAAGTAGAAGTAAAGCTTCTCTCTTCACTTCTTGATGCAACAAATGTTTTGTTCAGTAACTGCAGTGTCTAATTTACACTTCAATGTAAAACCATTATTAGCATTATAGCACCCTTTACACCTGGAATCAACATGTATCTTGACTGATGTCTCAGCAGAGATGTTTCTGCTATGATGCAGTACTTGGACTGTTTTGTATGTTCTGTTGTTCTGTATTCCAGTTCTCTCACTTCTAAATGGCTGTGAGGTGTCAGCTTTGAAGGAGCTTTTACGTCTACATCCATGTAGAAACTTGTAGCCTTTTTTAAGTAAAGGGGTTTACAATTACAATTCACTGCTCCCCCGACGTGCATGTGAACATGCCCAAAAACTTTTAAAGCTCCAAGTTCATTTCAAGTCTTGTTTCCTGGAGTCAAAACATTATACTTAAAAGCTGCACATTATTGCTATGTAAAAAAAAATAAATGCTACAACTAGCTGGCCTGTAATATAAATCACAGTATTTAGACACAGCTATGGATGTGATACATGTTAATCCCAGGTAATATGAGGGCCTATCATTATTGTTATCTGTTAGCTCTAGTATGTGCATTGTGCCAGTCAATAAATGATTCATAATATCAAGTAGTTCTACAAAAGTCCCATGTAAGTAAGTAAACGTTTTTTTCCTGGTATACATTTAAAAAACATGAAAAACCTAACCAGATTTACCCTTTTGAGTTTTCCCAAATCAAAATAGCTCATAGCATATGGAACTGAGTCTGTCAACTGAGGTTGGGGGTGGTCTCTCTCCTACTTGCACACTGTCAAAGTGGTGTTTTTGTTCAGCGGTATGTCGCTTATGCTTCACACACTGAAGTCAGGCTTGTCCTGTAGTGTGAGGTGTCAGGTGTGAGGTGGGGAGGTGGGGAGGGGGTAGGTCCAAAGTCTTCTGAGGAAAATCAATAAGTATGCAATTGGACAAGGCCTCTGGCACACCTTTTCCCAAGTATATTCCTGAGTTAAATCCGTGCATAGTAGTGGCAGCGATGATGAGTGGGTCAGTAATCACAGAAATGGCTTGCGCTCACGCCCACAGTCCCTCCCAGACAAATAGTTAGCTCATTGTTCATTGTCCCATACGGCCCGCTAGTAGTTGAGGAGGCGCTCCCTTTCTGTACCAACACAGCGCTGGTTAGCAGCAAACACCTTTGCTTTGTTCACTGAAGGACCTGTGGAAAAGAACATTACATTTAATTAAAACAGCGTTACAACTGTGCTTAAATCTTGTATGCTTAATGTATTTTCCTTTAAACATTTTAAATTACTGACCGATATAACTAAGCAGCACAGGGAGGAAGATGAGGCCGTGCGTTGCTCCCAGCAACACTATGGCCAAGTACATCCTAAAGTAGAAGACCTGGAAGATCTGGGACTTGGAAAGTGCCAGGATCAGAATGCCTCCAAACTTTGTTAATGTGATCCCACTAAAAACCTGTGAAAAAGAAAAAAAATTCATTAAGTATCGGGATATTTGATGATTAGACATTAAACATTGCTTTATCCTACTCTTACAAGCTTGTTAACACTGATATTCACATTACCAGCATGCAAAAATGTATTTATTCCTCTTGTGAATTTGTAAGCAGTAAAACGAGACTTACGGAGCTGCCCATGTGAGCCAGGGCCTCCTCAGCCCGCTCCACTCTGTTTTTCTTCACACTGATGGAAAACGCTCGCACAATGTGGCTGCAGAACTCCACCGAGATACCACAGCACTGCAACAGAGGACAGGAAACAACTCAGCACCAAAACATGGAAATGCTGAATTAAAAACCTACTGATTCCAGTTTGCTGCCTTGAAATTAATGTTTTATAGGTGAGAGGAAGTCGTTAACAGTTAGAGGAAGATCATTTCCTGATGGCTATCACAACATTTTTTCACCAAAGTAAGTGCTGTCATCTAGGGACAGGCTGACATTGCTAGAACAAAGTCCCTTAGGGTAAACAGCACAAGGGGTCAGACAACCAGACAGATTGTAAACAAGTCCTAAGTTTAAAAAGGCACAATCTATGATTACACCATCAATATTCAAAACACAGGAATGTAGCAGCAAGTCTTTTAAAACATGGATATAATACTAAAATAATACTATGCAAAAAGTAAACTTAGTAATTGATGTATTTATGTCAAACAAACAAAGGCTTTAACAAGCATTTGCTTTCAACTATTAGAGTTAAGAAAGCTGCAACATTTGATCATACACCTCTAATTTTTCCGCACATCCTCCTTTTACAGTTCTAATTTGAAAGTGAACATTCCTGAGATGATTATGAAATGATTACAACTAAAACTGGCCTTGCAACTATAGTAAGACGAGTCAAAGTTCAACCAGAAAGTAACTGTAAAATCTAATGGATAATTATAATTACAACAGACAATGTGGCTAATAAAAGTAATGTTCACCTTTGTTTTCACTGACAAATAATTGGTTTGGTAACACACTAAAACTACAGCATAAGCTGTTTGTTTATAACGTGTCTGACTGTTTGCCAGCTCGTATTACTTGCTATAATGGACTGTTCCCTCTATTCCCTCCGACAAGTCTTCCTTCCATGCCTGTAAGGTTGATTTCAATTCAAAATATGTTTTGTTAAAAACTAACAAGTCGTTTGTTATTCTGTTTTGGGATATCAAACAGGAGCTCTACCTACTGTAAGTGGAAATCTTAAGTGTGTTTTTCATGTTGTGCTCACCATGACTAGGTTCACCAGGGATACTGCGTTGAGGCTGATGTTCCACAGCCACATGACGCCAAACATGTTGACCAGGATCATGGCGATGGTAAGACTGACAATCAGAGCTGACCACAGCTCGAAGCCCAAAAGCACAGTCGTCACCACAAATATGGACGCCAGTGACACACTCAGGTTCAGAGCTGTGTCATACGCTATGGTGAGGTACTGCTCGTAAAACACATAGAAGACACTGCAAAGAAGGAAAAAATATATTAGTGAACAGCCCCTAAAGAAATTGCTGTAATGAATTTTCTATTTTTATCAGTAGCTATTCTTGACCTCATATTGTTTGTCATTTCAATAGACACAGCAAAACTACTTTTTTATCCACCAACAACTTTTTCTTGAAATATTTGGCTCAACCTCAGTGTCAGGGGGCATGACTGTTTTGCTGTATAGGAGACCGGGTAGAGGGAGATTATGGTCAAACATTGGCTGTATTGCCATTTATAATGTTTTCTTTGCTGTGTGCTTATCTATGACCTATTTCTACCCTTGAACCTTGAGTTCAAAACAAGCAGAACTTCAGTTACAAGTATTTCACAACCAGAAAACCCTAAAGCAGTGGGTGAAGCTGAAAACACATGAACGTTGTCACAAAGACATCAATGATTGCACTAATTTATACAGCATATTAAGCAAAGGTAAGACCACTACATTCAGTACAACAGGACTTACCTGTAGGCAAAAACTTTGTGGTCCATGGACTGACTGATATTTTCAGCTAGGTTTCGGGCCATTTTTAAGGCGTCTATGAAGTCTGGAGATTCTTTCAGGATGGTGTGGTAAGTCATAAAGTAAGTGGCTCCGACCCCTGTGTTGTTGGGATGAAGGTCAACTGCTGTGGCATAGGCTGCGTGGCCGCTGGAGAAGTATTAACACGTTGTGGGAGAAATATAAGAAGGGAAAATTACAAACCACAATGGGATACTTTTACCACATAAAAACAGAAGTTAAAATGAAAGTATTCAATACATGTCATGTGCTTTCAATAAAAAAAATAAAAAATGAGTGAACATTTCAGCAGAGCTATAAAATTACCCTTTTCCACACTTGACATTGGGATTGTCTGACAGAAACATGGGTAGAAACTGCATGAAGTCGTGTCCTTCTGGCCTCTGCTTTCCACTGGGAGTCATGGGCCGGCAGTGAACACAGGAGGAATTTACCACTGGAAAACAATACCGGGAATATATTCATCCATTGAACCAAATGAACTGAGAGAAATATACAAATTAGCTCTAAGACAAAGGTGTGAACTGAAAACAAATGAACAAACAAACAAAGTTGCACGAGAGACTCTTAAATACTACAATAAAGAATAACCTCTTTACCAGTACCAGTGTAAAACAATAAAGAGGCAGCATGGCTGTAATAACATTTGGTTATTAGCATACTTTTTTTTCCTAAAACTGCATGTATTTTGAAAACAAAGGCACTGAAACTGAGACACAATTTATCATGTGGGCGAGTGATTTTACAGTTTGATTTATTAGTTCCTCCTTTTACTATTATTTGCTTGTCACTTCCTTAAATACACTGGCAGCTGAAATTCAGGTGACTTTTAGTCATTTTATGAACCATGGATCTATTAATAATCAAATGCCTCAATTTTCTGCATTAATAATTATATCAACATTTTGTTAACCTAATCTAAAGAAATACTATTATCCTTTTGAGATATAAAATAGCATTAGTTTGCATAAATCAGCCATACAATTCTAATATTGACATTCATGTTTTGTTTAGTATTGCCATAATTCTGCTGTTCGTTTTGCAGCATAATGCCCTTAAATGCTAGGTGTGTCACTGCGTTTTGTGTATGAAAAACATGTTGACCTTATGTTAACTTGGGACACCAGGATCATGAGGCAAGGGTTCAAAGCATGTTGACGTTGGATATAAATTTACCCGAGGCATTGCAGAAGGCTCCAGTGTTGTTGTAGTATCGACAGCAGGTGGACTGAGGCTTCACCCAGTCAAAGTAGTCATCAAGCCAAGAGGATGGGGTGAAGGCAATGGTTGTGCTGGGAGTGAAAGGAAAAGTGAAATTGAATAGATCCTATAATCAGACGTTAGATTAGACAGACTTTAGTCTTTTTATGACCTTCACCTTAACTTAACTCTCAAGTTTTTAAGTTGTGGTGCCTGGCTGCCATTTACATTCAAATGTATGTTCAAAGTAATACAATTAAATAATTGTCAAACAGGTTCTCAGACAATTTTTGTTAATTAATGTTTTGTTTCTATCTTTAATATCATTTTTGCTATGTGCAATTGTACCATCTGTGATTTAATTCATCATAGCTCAGACTTACTAGTTGCTGATGAGTGAGGCGGCATAGACCTGCTGGACTAGAGAGTTGTTGTTACAGCCCACTCCTCCACACACAACATTCTGGCCCTCTGGACTACTGTAGTTGAGACCGTCCTCTACCACAAAGTACACTGGAGCTCCAGTGTGGAGATACTCGGTCAAGTTCTTAAAGTAGTCCAGCACATACGAGTCCTAGATGGAGAGACAGATCATCAGAATAGACCTCCACAAGTACAGGAATGCAAGTCAGTGCTATTACACCTTTGCAAAAATGTAATGTTATGGAAATGTTAATAATCACATCACATGCAATTGTGTTATCTTCATGGATGACGGACAGGAGAAGTAAAACTAAAAGTGCAACTAAAAATGTTAAAAGTATAACCATTCTACTTTGCCAATATCTATTAAAAAAGACTTACATCAGGCATGGAGAGTTTTTGGTCCAGTCCAATCTCTACTTTATTCACCACAGCAATACTGAAGGAGAGCATTCCCACAAACACTGCCACCTAAACAAAGAGATGAACAATGAACATCAACATCTTAGAATAATACATAGCAGGGGGAGTTGACAAAACAGATGAGAGATGTGCATGAGTGGTAATGTATCACTGAGGTACTTACTATGATCGGTCGCACCCACTCCTTGAGGACGAATGGTGCATATACTTTCTTGAAAAAACGGAAGAGGAAGCTCTCTGTGTTTGCTTCCTGACCTTCTGGCAGCTTTACACAGCAAATGATGTCAAGTCGATTCCCCTTTTCAAACATGAGAGACAACACGGCATTTGATTAAGTGTAACTAAGTCTGTATCGAACTTGAAGGTGGAGTCATTTAGAACAATGCTTCAGCCACATGTCACTAAGGCCCAAGTTCACTGCAACAATCGCTGCACTGACTAAAACAATCAACCACAGAAGAGGACCGGTTAAATTAGCTCAAGCAGTGATTGGTTAAGTCTGCAGGAAAGACCCAGTCTCACCTCCTGTCTTTTGGCGTCCAGGCCTAGCAAGCTGACAAAGCAGCTGATCTGCAACAGGAAATCAATAAAAACTGCCAAGCCAGCAAACAGAGAGAATGTCCTCACAGCAGGCATGTTGGACAGCGCTCCTACGGAAGACAAAGTCAACGATTTTATCAGCATGTGACTAACCATGAAACTATTGCACTTTTTGTCCGTCAATCCTGTCTACAAAAAACACTCTTCTTAAATGAAGGTGGAACCTTATGATTTTTCGAATACATATAGATTCATTTACATTGTCTGTGTACATATAGGGTGTATTTAAGCATGTTCTGGTTTACCCAAGAAAAAGGCCACCGTCTCGGAGAAAGAGGAGAGAAACATGCTCGGGGCTACATCTCCAAGAATACGACCAATCTGTTGGTGAAGTTCCTCTTGGGGCATCCGCTCATCCCTCTGTTGAGAAATACAAATGACGTTTAGCAAGTTTTATTGGCAGCATGAAAAAAAAAAAAAAAAGGTATCCTCATTGAAATTGAAATTAAGGAGTCTTTTTAAAGAGGAACCACATCAATGGGTAATAACAGTTTAATGGATTGGGAGAAGGGGTGTTACCTGATATGTCTGTACTATAATAAAGATGTTGTCCACTCCAACAGCCAGCACCAAGAAAGGAATGACTTCGATCACAATAAGGGTGAGGGGGATACCAAAATAGCTGAAGATCCCCAGTGAGGAGGCCACAGAGCTGAGCACAATTAGGATACCTGCTATACCCAGCGAGATCTTAGAGTCCACCTGTATGGGCAAAGAGATAAAGGATCAGTCAGATTCTTCCCTTTAGCTGCTCTCTTTTACACTTGAGCTGCAGGAAGTTGTCGAGCATGTTGCGCTAGTAGTCACAGCTCTAACTTCACAGGCAGAAAGTGTGCGTAATGTGGAAACCTGTTTCAGATATGGATTATGGAAACACTTGGGTTGGAAAAAATGCTTGACACATGGCACAAAAATTATAACGACAATGACTTATTGCTTAGGCTCTTACCATCACTCTCCTGAAGCTCTGTATGTGACCCAGGGCCAGGGAGATATAGATGAACATAATGGCATAGCTGATTACTATGGTGCTGATGTCACTGTTGCTCTCTCTGTCCAATTCATCTTCAATACTCCTCTCTGCACTAAAGGCTATGGTCAGGTTGGGGTTTTTGTAGTTCTTCATGAAACTGATGAATCTGAAATGCACGCACACATACACAAGAAAAACAATAAGTACATGCAAAGATACCACTAAACGGTGACTTTTGTTAGCTAAACAGATAGTTGTCTCACTCTTTCTCCCATGCCAGAGCTTTGTCCAGCTTGACTGTGTCATTCAGGTAGTTGTTGAGTGGAAAGGTGATCACTAGAGCAGTGGCATTGTTGTAGTTGGTTTCTGTAATGTGGAAGAAAAAAAATCATTAGTTACACAATTCTGTTATCAACCACATTAATAGATTACTGAACTGGCAGCTACAGCTAAGCATTCCTCTTGTCATAAATACATAAAGTTCCCCAGAAAAGCATGGCTGCCTCTAAATCATAAATTGTTGGTTGCTATGACAACTCTCGTGTTTATCAGATAGAAGTGGAAATGTTGATGACCAAAAGAGCATCCTTT